TCTATGACATGCGGCAAGCGAGCCGGCTACCCTGGTTTCTTAGCTTTGAATCTTCGACGGCAAGGATACTTACTTACGCATGTGATGTATTTAGGTGATCTATAGCTGCAGATCATACAGTTGGAAAGTTCAATGATAAAATTTCTAGCTCTTAGGCATTTTCGCTTAAAGCTAACTTTGTCTCATCAGTTAAGCTTACTTTTCATGCATCCGTTTTTCCGTCAGTCCGTTGATCCGGGAGTATTCCTATTGGTCCAATACCTTGGCGCGAAAATATTGGACCAATTGGAATACTTCCGGATCAACGGACTGACGGAAAAACGGATGCATGAAAAGTAAGCTTAACTGATGAGACAAAGTTAGTTCAAATCTTCCAAGAAGGCACAAAATCTGTGATAGTGTCTGGATTTTCTGTAGTTTTCACAAAATCCTAGAAGTGAAATCGACTGGAATTTGAGCTTTGCTTCTGTGATACTTTTCTGGGATTTTAAACTCTCATAAGAGAAATCTACATAGACCTTATCTCAGGGTACTTTCCCTGACTAAAGATGACAAATAGAAGTCGAAATAAGCTAAACTTAACAGTGTTTAGGAATATATTTGCAAAATTCGATCAAAAGGCAAGAGATGTTAAAGTTAGATTACTAATAAAAGAAGCCGAAAAAAATATAATTTCACCAGTGGCCTAAGAATGAAGAAAATGAATTATTTCTATTGAAGTTTATAGAAAGTGAGCGGCTGCCGGAATAGGCAGTCACCACTTGCTGGCCGACAGCTCGGGGTAGAAGAGCTGGCAAGTGAAGGGCACCCTCTTCCCCTGGGATTAAAAAAATGACCCCGCAGGCAGATGAACGAACAAAATAGTCTACGGTATAAGGATACAGAAGGCAATGAGAAACCACTGTAGTGAAGATCTTCAAGATTCCCCAGGAAAATCACCATTACACCTCAGTTATAAAAATTTACTAATCATGGAGATAGGAAACCAAGATTCGGCAGGAGAGGAGAAACACACTCACAACACGAGGCCTCTCAGGTCGTAAGCCTACGAAAACCTCGTGACAGAAATCGATGGATAAAAGGATCCGATCTGAGAATAGGAACATGGAATGTTCGAACACTTTACGATGCGGAAAGATTGAACAACTTACTGTTGGAAATGCAAAGAATGGACACACAAATACTAGGGGTGTGTGAAACAAGATGGCCGGATGCAACCAATTTTGACTCAGGAGATTATACTATTTACTCATCCGGAACGAGAGATGCATCTCATAGAAAAGGAGTGGCTATAGTACTAAATACATCCTTCAGCAGATCAGTACGAAACTTTGTACCCTTGTCAGACCGAGTAATGCTACTACAGCTGGCGATGAGAGCTGTAAATGTGAATATTATTCAGGTCTATGCCCCTACTACTGACCATGATAATGACGAAGACGAAGAGTTCTACCAAGAAATTAAAGACATAATGAAGGCGACAAAAAAACGCGAAATCACTATAATTATCATGTGAGATTGAAATGAAAAAGTGGACAGAGAAACAACAGAAAATGTCACCGGACAGTACGCCCTAGGAATACGTAACAACAGAGGAACACGACTTGTACAGTTTTGCCAAGAATATTGATTACAAATACGTGGTACAATCTTCCATACAGGATACTGTACACATGGACGTCCCCCAAAACACACAGAACAACATTGTAAGAAATCAGATCGACTTCAATCTGATCAACCGGCGATTCCGAAATTGCAATACGTCAACAACAAGCTGACGTGTACTCTGATCCTAACTTTCTCTGCTCAGTACTAGGCGTAACATTCAAAAAAAAAAAGAAACAACCATCGAAGACCTCAAAAATACAACATATACTAAAAGACCCCGAAACCATCAAAGAACTAATCAAGGAAATAAATGGTAATATACATACAACTATATCACTTCCCCTTGATAACAAAAATGTCGAAGAAAATTGGCGAGATCCCAAATCTTCTTTGAGAAATGAAAGAGTTCAGCAGCTGAGAAAACCAAAGGGGAAAAAAGGCAAAAAAAATGGATGACACAGGACATATTGAACCTTATGGAGCAGAGACGAAAACACAAAAACAACAATCATAGAATACATCAAATAATATGCAAAAAAATTAGGGAAGCAAAGGAAGTGTGGCTGCGGGAATCCTGCAAGGAAATAGAGTAGCTTCAGATCATACACGATGACTTTAACTTTCATAAAAAGATAAAAGAACTTACTATACCGATGGTGGAAAGGCACTGTTAACAAAGGAAGATCAGGGTAATGAATGGCAGCACTAGCATTATATTCAACAACTACTATCATGACGACATTTGATATCTCAGTAGTTCAAGAAGTGATTAAACAAAGGAGAAAACGAAATTTAAAAGAGACATCAACTCAAATTTCTGGAATTGTCTAGATAACTCGCCTCCGTTCGTTTCGAACTGGCTGAACTATTACGCGACCTTTCTAGTTATTGTTGCAAAATTCTGCACAATCTACCCTTAACTTGAGAGATTTTCAAAAGCAACAACAATAGGTTATAGGCCCAGATCCACGATTTGTCTAGGTATTTCGTTTCGATGTTGTTGTTCAAGTCTGAGAATACAAAAATCTTGTTTGTTACGACGCTGGTCAAAAGTATCATCAATCGTCTCCGAGGGACACCACTGTCCACTGACCGTTACACGTTTTTCCTTACACCAATAAACATTCGTCATAAAGATTGTTGTTTTTTTTTTTTAATACAAGGGGGCCCCGCGAACCGCCATGTTTGTTCTCGCGTGTCTGCGCTCACTAAATAACCCCAGCAACAAATTGAGCTCGTTTCGAGAGAGAGAGCCCCGGCTAAAATGGCCGTACCTCAAATTTAAATAAATATTTTTGACAGTGCTGGTGCGCTTTTCCCCGTTCTCGTTTTTTTTTTCTTCTTCCTTTGGCCGTTCTCTCCGGCAATGAGTTAAAGGCTATTTCTCGCCGCATTTAGCGTATTATTGCGGACTTTTTGTTTTTTTGCCCCAGCCATTGTGCCTGTCAAACCAAGAATTTCGTATTAATTTACCATTAAAACGGATTATTTATTTGCTTTAATGAGAATTGGAATCTGAAAAACGAATGAAAAAGTTTTCAAGAAAAAAATAAATGAGGAAGTTGTTGACGCAGATGGCTAATCTTGATTTCGGTTAGCAAATGTCAATGTCAGTAAAACAATGTATGGGTTTGTTAATTGTTGTACCTCAATGGTTTGTTGAAAAGGGTTGTTAATTTTCCATATTCAATCACATATTGAAAATATTAACTAGTGATTAGTATATATATACGGGTAGGACTATAGGGTATTCTAGAGTTTCCAAAGTCCTCTGACTGCTCTTGCTTAATTATATTAACATTTCGGAAACAAGAGACATTTTTCTCGGGTGGAAAAAAACAACACAAAAGCCGATAAACTAGGCAGCCACACTTTGGGGGTACCAAACTACCGTTTAGCCATGGGTGGCTGATCGTGCCCAGTGTTTCCCGCAAGGAAACAAGTGTAAAAGTCCACCGCACCCTGCGCGCTACACCGCAGACTTGGCGGTTGGTACTTTGGTACCCGGTGCAAAAATTACGAGGATCATACTCGAAATAAATTGCTTTCGGACGGGGGGGCATTTTTCATTTTTTTTACGAGCATCTTTCCGTTATGCACCTACACTACATACGAGAAACGAATTTTGAACCCGGAGCAGAATTCAATGGTACCTACCTCTTAATAGGGTGAATTCGTTATTGATGATTGGTTTGTAGAATTTCAAATGTTCAAAAAATAATTCACAGATTGGATAATTGGTCTATACGTTTTTAGGTAAATTGAAAGGAAGTCATATTTCAAAATAAAATAATATAATAATTGATTTAATTATGATAATTTTACACTTATTGATTTATGCATATTATTTCAATATAAAATGGTCTGTATTAGACAATTTTGCTATCAGACAGTGGTACGTTTTTGCACTAGTACAATAAAATAATGTAAATGTGAAGTTTGATTGAACAAAACGCAGATAAATATACACAGTGATGATTGCAGATAATAAAGAAAAAACAGGTAATATAATATTTGAATTAAGGTAACAAAAATTTTGAATTTTTACCGCACTTTCTATATCACGCTGTATAGAAAAAAATACTCAAATTCTATATTTATCATGTGAAGCAGATGATTAACAAGGAATCGCTTCCAAAAATAGTCAAAGCCGCATATTTTTCCGTTAATTCATTAAAAAGTTGTCGCGTCTCAAAAATTGGTGAAATTTATGCTTGGAACGAACCTATTGTTGAGTAGTTTATTTGAGGATTCTTGATTGTAGAAATATACTATTTTGATTTGAAATTGCTTCAGTTTTCTATTGGTATTACCTATGTCAAGATTTGGTTGAGTTATATGCCTTTACTTTACCATCATTCGTCAATTTAACTAAATAGGTAACTTACTAATTTTCTAACCTACAAACTTCATCCATGAAAATCATGTAGAACTGTCTAGAATTTGTCAAACCAACCAATCAGAGCATGGCATTTACTTGACTTTGACAGATTAGTGCTTTCTGATGAACGAGACCAATGAATGACTTCAAATTCTTAGGACTCAGTTGGTCAAAAAGTTGTGAGTCAATTTCAACTTCAACTCTTCCACCCTCAAACTAAAGTTAACTGACAAAAATTAACGAGGAACTTTATCCGATTCCAATCAAAATCACCCAATGAAATTATAATAGTCGATGATTGACTAATTTTCATTAAAAAAATATTAATATTCTATAGTGTCGTCACGTGACAATAAGATTCCAAATTCCAAACAACATTTACGTGTTTGTATTCCACTGGTAAATCGCGTGAATGACTAATACAATCATCAATTTACATTTCCTTAAAATATGCTCATCAGTAAAGGAAAATCATGCAAATTGCTGATCTTTCGATTCAAAGTCCAATATTGTCGAGTGGCCACTACTTATCTCAGTTGATTTTGTATACTTGTGGGAAAAGAATTCGCGTGTTTGATAAAATTTAGTGGCATAAATAAGCGAAATTCGCACATGTTATATTCAGTCAGTGACTAGTTATTGTAGTAGACTTTATTTGATTTTGATAATTGTTTATTTACCACGTTCAAGGTTTGTTTATTGCGAGTGCGTAGGTAATTTGTTTCAGAGAAAGTTTAAGGTGAATTTTACATTTTGAAAAATTATTTATTTACTTATAAGACTTACAAGTTATCTGAATCCTCTCAGTATTATTATTGATTGTAAAAAGATAACCATACAGACCTCATCAATAATTATAAAAATAGTATTTGTGTATAAATCCTTCAATAATTCAGAATATGACATGCAAGCTTTTCTTACTATAAATAAATTTTCTTTGTTTTAGGTTATCAAAGTAATCGCAGCTAAGTGTCCTAGACAGAACACTAGAAAGTGATATTTGGTGTATTTAACTCCTGCATTCCTGTATTAGAACTTGGTAAGTTACTTAGAAAAATTACTAATCCACTATTTGATGTATATGTGAATAAATTTTCGCTTTATATTATTTTGTCATCTTAGTTTGTATTCCATTTCTTTGGTAAATACAATTCCATAATTTTTTGTAGCATTTAGGTACATTATTGATGGTTGAATTTTCCGTATTTCTGCTTGCATAATCCAGAGAAATTGCTATTTCTGGTCTAGTTTTGTTTGACAGATACAAAAGGCTGCCAACCCTGCTGCCAACTGCCTTCCAATAGGAAAAATTAATTGTTATGTCCACGTTGCTGGTCGTTTTTCCGATGATATTTACCATTGGATATTATCAAAGCTTGTTTGAGTCCATACAAGGCAAAATAAAAAAAATATTTTTCCAATTTTTCCAAAAACGCTTCATCATTCAATGTCCCATACAGAAACACACTCTTAATGCCATTTTTTTAAAGTTATAGTTTCTCTGTACAGATAAGGACAACAGGGAACACAATGAGCTGACATTTACTACTGGGCTGAAAATAGATTTATAGTCTAGGCCTAGGTCACTTGTTGCTTAATATCTCCTTTCCATTGGCTTTTTCTATGTCTACATAATAATCTATGTTGTTGTTCTCTAAAGACTCCTTTTCTTCATTATTGCCTGTTGCCATTTTTTATTTTCTTTAGGACTTATATTGCCTCATTGTATGTTAGTAAAACATGGTAAAACGTAGTCTACATATTTTTTAGGTAAACGTATTTTTGTTCCTTGTCTGTCTTCTATGCCTTGTCTCAAAAATTGGCCTTCTTCACTCGCATCTTCATCACTATAAACTATAATCTTGGTCGTTTTCTTCCGAAATTTCTTCATTGACATCTTCATTCTGGTTCTGTTCTTCTTCCTGTCCTTGGTATCTTCATCTTTCAACCTTATCTGAGAAGTTTTGTATACTTAATGGGCTTTCTTTTCAAATACGACGTTTCAGTCTATATCATCGATAGAGCGCAAGGGGCAAACCACCTGTTATTCTTTGCTGAATCTGTGGGTAATTTAGAGAAATTTGGAGGAATTTGTAGGAAATTTGAAGGCATTCATGGAAAATTGGAGAAATTTATAAGAAATTGCGGGAGAATTTATTGGTTTTAACACAGAGTAATAAAAATAGAAAAATACTTTTCTTATCACGAACAATTTTGGGGATTTTTAGGGCGCATTTGGAGGGAATTTGCGAGCAGCTTGGAGAAATTTGGAACAATTTTTGGGGACTTTGCGGGAAGTTTTAGGAAATGTTCGCACAAATTCGGGAGGGTGGTTTACTCCATAAACCTTGTTCACCTTCAAAACGACATTGAAGGACGTTTTATTTTATTTTTGAGGAAAGTGTTCATTCGAAGGATTGGGTTGAAACTTTGCAAGTACCTAAATGAAAAAAGGATTGAGATTTAAGAAAAAAATGAAAATTTGTTTTTACGCGCTCACCTTGATAAAAATCAAATCCGAAAGCCTTTAAACCTTTGCAGCTGCGAAACTTTTGAAGCTGCATTCAAAATACTCACAAGAAATTTGTAAAGGATCTAGTTAGCTCCATTTCAAGCCTAATAACGTTAAGATCAGATTCAAATTACCAAAGATGTGAGGTAAAAATAAATATGATTCATTGTCATGACGTTTTATTTTTTTAAGGAAAGTTTTCGAAGGATTGGCTTGAAATTTTGCAACTAGATGAAGAAATATTAAAGTGATCACTCCTATTAGTAGCCTATATTGTTCTGGTTCACACAGTCAACCAGTCTTGTATACTTTTTCACAGGAAAGCGTCCATCAGTTGCTCTGCTACTCTTGGATTAATTCTTTCACAGACTGTCTTGTTTTCTGCAAGTTCAGGGACTTTATTCTCAAAACAGGGGAGCAGCGTTCTCATGAGAACGAAGGTTCTGTCTTCGTCGTCCGTATTCATATTTCCATAACACTGACAATGACAGGAGCAATCGTTCTCATGAGAACGCTGTTCCTCGGTTTCGAGAATAAAGTCCCTGATCATGTGAAGATTCTACTGCAACTTCGTTGACCAATATCGAATTTGCAACACCTCTCGATGCATATCCGAAAAGAAGTTCGTAGGGAGACTTGACTCGCTGAACTTGCTCGTTTCATCTCTCTTCTTTGTCTGTTGATGAAGTCAGTTATGCCAATATTGTCCTGTTGTACCGCTCGACCTGTCCATTCCCTCTAGGAGTAGCTGTAGCGTTTAGTACATGTTTAATATTTAAATTGGAGCAATAGTCCTTGAATTTCTTGGCTGTATAGCAGGAGCCTCGATCGCTAATTATCCTTCTCGGTTGAAACATAATGTTCAAGGTTCACCAGATTGTCAAAATCTGGTACCAACTGGGTTCCCAAACTGGTACACATTCTTTAGTTTTTGTTGGAGTTTTTTTTTAATGCGATTTGTTCGGATTAACAACCGGAACAAATGGGCTCGATTTCGGTCTACACTCAAAAGATTATCAATTATCACGTGTACTACGGCTGGCATCTTTTCGTGTCGTAATTATACAGTGTGTCCCAATAGAAAGTGACCGATTGTAAATGCCTATAACTTCTGAACCAGGTGTGCTAGCTACCTGCGATTTGCACCATTCGACTTCTCTTGGCCTAAAGTTTTTTTCAGATAGTTGCAAATTTTTTTCACACTTATATATATAGGCCAAGAAAAGTCGAATGGCGCAAATCGCAGGTAGCTAGGACACCTGGTTTAAAAGTTATAAGCATTTAAAATCGGTCACTTTCTATTGGGACACCCTGTATTAATATTGTGTAAATCATTTATTGAATATAGTTTACGTAGTGTCAGATAAATTATATGTCAATTATTTTCTATATTTTACTACAAGATTTATTTCAGCTGTATTTATACGCAATAAAACCGAAATCGGTCTTGGAATTCTTTTTGTTCCCAAATCGCCACTGAACCACCACCCCTTATATTCGAGTTCTGTCTCATCTTGGCGCCCAACGTGGGGCCGTCAGCAATATCAGCGGAAATAAAAAAAATGTTACTGTTTTTCACTGGCCCTTTTTGGGTTAAGAAACAGGTCAGTTTTGCCACGTATTTTTTGGAAAATTCGGATTCCAAAGTTGAGCGAGGTACCTTTCATGTCAGTCATATGCGAAGATATGTTCCACCGAGTGGATAAGCGAAATGAAGCTCCTGCGTTCCAAAATTTATGGAAGTCCGAGAGCTTGAGGGGCAGATGAAACATGATGTTCAAGGTTCACCAGATTGTCGAGATCTGGTACCAATTGGGTTCCCAAACTGGTACACGTTCTTTAGTTTTTGTTGGAGTTTTTTTTTTTAATGCGATTTGTTCGGATTAACAACCGGAACAAATGGGCTCGATTTAGGTCGACACTCAAAGATTATCAATTATCACGTGTACTACGGCCGGCATCTTTTCGTGTCGTAATTATATTAATATTGTGTAAATCCTTTATTGAATATAGTTTACGTAGTGTCAGGTAAATTATATGTCTGATATTATTTTCTATATTTTACTGGAAGATTTATTTCAGCTGTATTTATACGCAATAAAACCGAAATCTGCCTTGGAATTCTTTTTGTTCCCAATTCGCCACTGAACCACCACTCCTTATATTCGAGTTCTGTCTCACGGTACTCCAAAGTTTGCTACTACTTCATTTAGAAAATTCAATAGTGGCCCATCCTTCCTTGATTGGACTGCTTCCATAAATTTCAAACTTTGTAAATGCCTCAACAATAACAAGGAGGTACATATTTTTTCTTACCGACTTTACAAACGGCCCCAAATGGTCAACTTGAACAGTATCAAATGGCTCTAAGACTTTCTCAATAAGGTGGAGGAACCCAGGTTGACGTCCGCCAGGTTATTTATTGAACATACATTACAAACAACACGTGATATATTTCTTTATATATCTCCGCATTCCTGGAAACCAGTACGTCTTGGAAATAGTCGAAAACGTTTCATCTAGTGCCATCATGAACATGCATTAAAATTTGCCTGCGAGCCGATCTTGGAACAACCCAGTTTTCTGTTTGTCTTTAAAGAATCTTAATAATCTTGCAATATTCTCGATGGATTTTCCGTTCTTCGACGTTCACAGGATCTCTTTCCAAAACTCCCAAAATTAGTTTACATCGATCGTCCGTGAATTGCGCTGAGAGTACCCAGTCTTCATGTTCTATGTTAACAAGGTTTGCAGCAATTTGTGATCTACCTCCCTCGACAATAGGAATAGGACTTCTTATTCTTAAAGCGTCAACATGCGCCATTTTTGTACCAGGACGATACTCCACTTGACAACCACCATCTTCCAACTTTAGGAATGAGTTCTCGCTTGCACAACACAATGTCGTCCTTACAGCGTTGCAATCAGTAATTACCTTGAAATTGATACCAATCAAGTACACTCTAAAGTTCTTCAAGGTACATACGATTGCAAGGGTTTCGAGCTCGTAAGAGTGGCACCGTTATTTGTCTTTTGTGGTTTGTTTCGAAAAATACATACAGGAAAGAAGTGAATCAGAATGTTCCTCTGTAATAATATTCTACCTGTGCCCCACTTCGAAGCATCACAGTAGATCTCTGTTGACAGGTCTGAATTATGTATCGCTAGGATAGGCCTTGATACTAACCTTTCTTTAAGAGTATCGTAAGAATCTTGTTGATCACTGCCTCAGGCGAATTCTACTCCTTTTTTCGTCGAAGAAGTTGTTAATGTATTTTCGAAAATAGCTAGATAAACCTAGGAATTGCCTAACCGTGCGTACATCTGTAGGAATGGGGAACTTGGATACAGCGTCTGTATTCCGTTTCCCGGTTCAATACCATCCTTGCTAATTTCGTGACCCAAATATTCGATCTTGGGCATTTTGATAATCTCAACGTAAAACCTGCATCAAATCAGAGAATTCAAAGCTATTTACAGGAAGAAGGTCGTCCATGTATGCCAATGCTTTCCCATACGGCATGTTTCCCAATACTTTATTTATAGTTCTTTGGAATATAGCTGGCCCATTTGCAACGCCGAATGGCATTCGAAGGTACTCGAAATAACCGTCAGGCGTCGTTTTTTGAATAGAATCGTGTCCTTTATCTGGTGGTATCCACTTGCTAAATCCAAACTTTTGAAAAACGAACAGTCTTTGAGTTTCTCCAAGAAATCATCAACTCGTGGTAATGGAAATCTGTCTTTGATAGTCTTCGCATTTATTGCGCGATAATCAATACACATTCGTTGCTCTCCATTCCTTTTTTTTCTCTAAGAGGATTGGACTTGCATACGGGGACTTAGACTCACGTATTAGGTATATCACTCTCAAGCATTCATTCACAATATCTCTCACAACTTTCCTTTCATTGTGAGATAAACGATAAAGTTCGTCAGTAAATTTAATAGTCATTTGCAAAACGTTAGTTCGTCCTTAGTCTTTCGTACTTCGTGCAAAACAATTATGAAATTCGTTCAGTAATTTCAACAATGAGTCTATCTGTTCCGAAGTTAAATGATCAGACCAAGATATGTAACACTGACAGTAAAAATATTTTGATCATTTGTTAAAACGGTCACATGACCAGCATTGATATTTTTTTGAGCTCCGATTTCTTCCAAACAAACAACTGACCTTGATAAAACTTTGACTTTACTGACCTTGAAATCTTTCCATCCATCTTGACCATTTGTGATACATTCGTCAATGTAGCATTATTTTCCTGAAATCGACCGCAGTCCTCCTAGTAGGTACGTACACATTATCGGTGGTGGCTCTTCGTGACGTCACCTCAATGACTGCTACTGTTTTTAGCGGAATAACAGTGTCCATCGTAGCCCACAATGAAATTTTCCTGGTCGGAAGATCTAGAATGTTAGTGCGGTGTCACACTATGCGTTTTTAAAGCTACGGCAAGAAGGGATGCGTTTTGACCGGATGAACAGCTCTCATTTAATACAATGGGTTTACACATCTCTGGCCTACACCATCCTTGCAAACCGGAGCGTTTTTGCCGCAGCGGTAAAAACGCTATGTGTGACACCACACTTAGGAACATTTATCATCTCTTGGAAGAATGTGAACATTCTTTCCTGATACGATTACGAGGATTGTTGGTCGATTCAAAAAGTTTTGTTCTACTATGACCGGTATTGACTGAAGATAATCAAGTACTACAATGAAATCCACGTGGGTTTCTACCTGATCAATTTTCAGAGTAATTTTTCCTTCTCCAGTGGCTGATATGACTGAACCGATGTATCCTGATACTTTGGTGTTACTTCGGAGGTATTCCAACTTTGCCTCCTTTGCCACTTTCTCTCTGACAAGAACAGACCCGCAACCCATATCAACATATGTACGCATCGGCATATCATTCAACACACAGTCGAAAGACTACTGTTCATTTGTGGAAACTTTTACTAATAAATTATTTTTGATTTCTGGTTTTTTTGGTCGTTTATCACGAACAGTTTTGGGGATTTTTAGGGAATTTGCAACAGGCATTTGCAGGGAATTTATGAGCAGTTTAGAAGAATTTACGGGAATTTCGAAAAATTTTCTATACCTAATTATACATCATTGGGAAAAGTATTGAATTCTCTATTAGGTCGTGCAAAATGGGCAATTGTAGCATGTGAAGTTTTCAAGATATTGAGCTTCAAAGTTGAATGTCCCCAAAACAGTAAATCTATTATTTATTTGTTACGCCTGAATCCAAAGAAACTATTTTTTTTACAGGTACTCAAACTTTTTAAGATCTTTTCACTATGCCGCCACGCCCAAGAGAAAAACAACCTCTCCCATCACTTCCGGCCCTTCCGACCGGAAATTTAGACGAACAAGATGAAATCATCACAGAAAAGATTCCCCAGAGTGCTTACGAACCCGATAACCGTCCAATCGAGATTGTTTGGAAAAACGTTTTGGTTTTCATCATTTTGCACTCTGTCGCTTTGTACGGACTTTTCGTAATGGTTTTCAGCGCCCAGTGGCTCAGCGCACTCTACAGTAAGCTATTTGAAACAAACAAACCAGACAAACAAATTCATTGTTTTTTTTTTTTTTCAGCGATTATATTGTATCAAATGGGTGCGTTCGGTATCACTGGCGGCGCTCACCGATTGTGGGCTCACCGATCGTACAAAGCCAAATGGCCTCTAAAACTGATTTTAGTTCTGTGCCAAACTCTGGCCCATCAGAACTCTGTGATCGAATGGGCCAGAGATCACAGGGTGCATCACAAGTTTCAAGAAACCGACGCCGATCCTCACAACGCTAAACGGGGCTTTTTCTTCTCGCACATGGGCTGGCTCTTGTGCAAAAAGCACCAAGAGGTTAAGACCAAGGGTAAAGGAATTGATCTCTCTGATCTCTACGCTGAACCACTTTTAAGGTAACTAGTTGTCTAAGTAAAGTACCATGGAAGAAAATATTTTATTTTATTTCAGATTGCAGCACAAGTATTTCATGGTTCTGATGCCGTTCGGTTGTTTCGTTTTGCCCACTCTTTTGCCCATGGTTCTCTGGGGTGAAACTTTTGTGAATGCTTTTTGCCTGAACATGTTCAGATACGTTTTTAGTCTTCATGCTACCTGGTTGGTCAACTCGGCTGCTCACATGTGGGGATCCAAACCTTATGACTCGTAAGTATACCTAGCTTTTTAATTTTTGTTTGTTTGGGAAATAAGTGAAACATTCGAATTGCGCGAACGTAGCTCATGAAAGGTTGAAAAACAAAAAGCTTCCAAAGCATCTAAAGTCACACTATACTTTTCGAATCTGAAGTGTCCAGAGTAGCTTTTGAAACATTCCGAACAGACAGAGAGCTTTTTTTGCAGTTTCTTCGGTTCAAAAGTGTCTAGAGTAACTTCAAGTATCTGAATCGATCTCCAAAGAATCTGATGTCTCTTTGTAAGGTTCGAAATTATTGTCTACAATTATCCAAAATGTCCAAGAGTAATTTTTGGAGTGTTCTAAATAAAGAGTTTAAAATTTTCCAAATTGACTTTTGAAGTGTTTTAAATTTTCTCCTGAGGTATCTGAAGCAATTTTCAAATCGTCTGAAGTCTCTTCAGTAAACTTTATTTTCCAAAATTAATTCAGAAGCATTTTAAAGGATTTACAATAGCTTCCGAAGGGTGTCTGATTGTCTGAAGCAATCTTCAAAGTATTTGAAGTCACTCTACTTATAACTTCCTATATTTTCAAAATTTTCTAAAATTTCCTCAAGCTTCTGAAGTAAATTCCAAATTATTAGAAATAATTTTTGGCAGATTTTAAACGATTTAATATTCATTAGGCTTAAAATAGGCAATTCTTGACAGATGTCAAAATCAAATTTGATGGATCGACGGCCAATGAGCTTGTAAAAAATTGATTTCTGTCAATGTTATTATTTTGACGATTAGGGACGATTTTATGTCCAATAAACTTGTGTCATTTTCATAAATAAAAATTCGTCCCTCTTAAATTGGGCAATTTTTGACAGATGTCAAAGTCAAATTTGATAGATCGACGTCCAATGAGCTTGTAAAAAAATTGTTCCTGTCAAATATTATTATTTTGACGATAAGAGACGATTCAATGTTCATTAAGCTTTAAATTTGAGTCATTTTCGTAGATAAAAATTCGTGCCTCTTAAATTGGGCAATTTTTGACAGATGTCTAAGTCAAATTTGATAGTCTGATATCCAATGAGCTTATAAAAAAGTTGACACCTGTCAAATGTTATTATTTTGACGATTCGAAACCATTTAGCTTTAAATTTGTGTCACTTTTATAGAAAAAAATCGTCCCTCTTGAATTAAAAAATTTTAGACAGCTGTCAATGCTCAGTTTCACAATTTAATGTCCAATGAGCTTGGAAAAAAATTGACACCTGTCAAATGTTATTACTTTGACGATTATAGACTTGACATTCAAAAATGTGTCATTTTCATTAAAAAAAATCATTCCTGTTGAGTCAAACAATTTTAGACAGTTGTTGATGCTGAATTTTATAGTTTGATGACTAATGAGCTTGTAATAAAATTGACACCTGTCAAATGTCATTATTTTGACGATTGGAGACCATTTAATCTCTATTGAGCTTTAAGTTTGTGCCACTTGTATAGAAAAAAAATCGTGCCTCTTGAATTAGGAAATTTTAGACAGCTATCAAAGCTGAATGTGATAGTTTAATGTCCAATAAACTTGTAAAAAAATTAACACCTGTCAAATGTTATTATTTTGACGATCTTTGTATACGGAACGCGTATCAAAAGTTGTCAAATGTCAATACGCCCACTGGAATTAATGTTTTCAGCGATCTACTTTACTGACCGAAACATATTTTGACGTTTAAACTTTTTGACACAATCCTCTATCAAGTAGGCCATGCATTTACCCAATCAAATTTCAAAAAATGATGCCTTCTTTTATCCATTTTCGTCGGTCCTTTTCTAATCATTTATGTTAAAAAAAGACAGTATTAGGTTTTTTTTTTTATTGTACATTTAATTAGAAAAGTCTCGGTATTATACGGAACGCGTATCAGCAGTTGTCAAATGTCAATACGCCAACTGGAATTAATGTTGTCAAGCGATCTACTTTACCGACTAACAGATGTTTTCGACATAATCCTTCATCAAGTAGGCCATGCATTTACTCAATCAAATTTCAAATAATGGTGCTTTCTTTTATCTATTTTCGTCGGTCCTTCTCTAATCATACATGTTGAAAAAAGACAGTATTAATGTTTAGTGAGCTTCTAATTTGTGTCATTTTTATTAAAAAAAAATCGTCCCTCTTGAATTATGAAATTTTAGACAGCTGTCAAAGCTGAATTTGACAATTTGATATCCAATGAGCTTGTAAAAAAAATTGACATCTGTCAAATGTTATTATTTCGATGATTACAGACTTGAGCTTTGAAAATGTGTCATTTTCATCAGAAAAAATCTTTCCTATTGAATTAAACAATTTTAGACAGCTGTCAAAGCTGAATTTGATAGCTTGATGTCCAATAAGCTTGTAAAAGAATTGAAACCTGTCAAATGTCATTATTTTGATGATTACACACTTGAGCTTTGAAAATGTGTCATTTTCATCGAAAAAAAATTGTCCTTGTTGAATAAAAATTTTTTAGACAGCTGTCAATGGTGAATTTGATAGTTTGATGTCTAAAGAGATTGTATAAAAATTGACACCTGTCAAAAGTCATTATTTTGACGATTAGAGACTATTTAAATGTCTATTGAGCTTTAAATTTGTATCATTTTCACAGAGACAAAATCGCCCCTCTTGAATTAAAGAATTTTTGACAGCTGTCAAAGCTAAATTTGATAGTTTGATATGCACTGAGCTTTTAAAAAAATTGATACCTGTCAAATGTCATTATTTTGAGCACTACAGGCTTGAGCCTTAAAGATGTGTCATTTTCATTGATAAAAAAAAATCATCCGTGTTGAATCGAACAATTTTAGACAGCTGTCAATGCTGAATTTGATAGTTTGATGTCTAATGAGCTTGTAAAAAAATTGATATCTGTCAAATGTCAATATTTTGACAATTAGTGTAGATCTGTGGGGGTTAATTTGTGAACTCCCTGTAAGATATCCAAACCCATTTTTTCGGGAATAAAAATTCAAAATTCCAGCACTTATACAGGGTGCTCAAAAAAGTCGCGAGCGTTCAAAACAGAAACCAATAAAGAGCCGAGAATAGATAAAATTTGAATTTAAAAAATCTGTAGACTCTAGACAATAATAATAAAGACTTCCAAGCCTCAACAACCAAAGACTTCATAATACTTTTGCTTGTTGTCTTTATTTAATTATTAGTATTAAACAGAGACAGGAATAATTCTAGCACAGCATCATACAGGGTGTCCTCGAAAAAACGCGAGAGCTCACACTAGAAACCAATCAAGAGCCGGGAATAAATAAAATTTGGATTCAAAAAATCTCTTTTGCTTGTCGTCTTTGTTTAACTATTAGTATTGAACAGAGACACGAATAATTCTAGCAAAATACAGGGTGTCCTCGAAAAAGTTGTGGGCGTTCAAAATAGAAACCAATCAAGAGCCGATGATAAATAAAATTTGGATTCAAAAAATCTCTTGACAATAATAATGAAAATTTCATTTATTGTCAAATCTGACATTTCAACAATGAAATACTGGTTTTTTATTGTCAGTTTGGACCAATCAGAATACAATTACCTGATAATTTAGCTGCATCTAAAAAATAGCGATAATTTTAAAATTATCGATAATTTGCACATGTGCTAATTGCTGATAATTTTTTCTCAGGTATTTTTTCACCTTTTCTTTATATTTATGCCAAATGAATTTCAATATATTTTTCAAACGATCTGTTTGAAGGGTGCATTAAAACACGAATTTTTGGAAACATCTACCTATATTTGCAAAAATATTAAAAAGTGCTCTATACAATAATTAATTAATTGTTATTGAAATTATGACAATTAAAAACACAGTTTTCAAATTTAAATACTGCCTTCGAAGAATTATTTTCAGACATTACACTATTTGAAGTTGAAATCGTTTGCGCCGAACTGAGAACAGGGGAAGCATTACAATTTTGAATTTCATTATTGGCGGCGTTATGGTTTCCTCTCATTTTATGGATAATATCCTCATGAAAGCTCTGATCCAATTGTAAATAGGGTTTTATCGAATTAACGTTACCATCATGGCCAGTTATTTTTATTAATTGATTTTCGCCAACTCCAGATTTAGCCAAATGGGTTACGCTTGTAGCCCTATGTGAATGGTTAGTAAATTTAAATTTTTTGCTATTTAGGCCGGCCTTTTCTGCTGCAGTTTTTGTCCATTTTAAAATTTCATTCCTGCCAGCTGGCATATTTTTATACCATGTGCCACTTTTTCTCCATTCTGGATTAGATGTTAAGAAAAGTCTGTTGATCTTCACATTATTTCCTCTTTTGGAAATAAACAATTTGCACAACCTGGAAATAAATCATATTTGAATCAATAAGTTTACCTATTGAAGCACTTTTACTTACCTAATTGGGCATATGGCTTCATCGGCGTTGTTTCTGGATAAGCCATTTACTGTCGTTAGAAGGTGGCTACCACCTTGGCGTGTTTTCGAAAAAATTGGATTGTATTCAATCCTGTTTGTAGGTGTGCCATCGTGAAATTTTTCCATTTTAAAAAAATCAGTTGTGCAATTTGGAGCTTCGCCACCTCTAAAAGCCAGTTCAAATGATAACACGTGGAACAACTTTTTTTGAAGCCCGTCGGGAGTATTTTCATCAAAAAGTTTGAGAATACTCAAATATTCTTCGGACGTAAAAGCTGAGGAACTTGTTTTTCTTTTGTTTGGATCACCCTGCAATTCTCGCCGTACGGCATCCCTGGCGTCTCTTGCTGCTTTGAATGTAATATTTGAGAATGGATCGAGGTTGACACCATATTCGCTATACTTCTGTTGAAGTAATTTGGCGGTCACATTCCACATAGTCTTGACTACGCTCTCTTTGTAAAACGAACCATCTTTTCTTCTCATATTACTTGCCCAATCCTTTAAAATATTAGCTAAAGTTTCTGGTGTTGTCTGGGCTTCCAATACGTATTTTTTCTCAGAGCAAAATTCTTCGAATTGTTTCCATATTGAATTTTTTGATTTTTTTGTGTTTTCAGGAGTTAGGTCTTCAATGGATTTGTCAATTTCTTGCATGGAAGCGTTACCAAATCGCGACATTTTTCTTAAATGTTGAGACACGAAATAAACTTGTTTATTATCACAAATGCCAATTGTTAAATCACCATAGAAATTGTTTAAAAAGGTAATAACTAGTAACTAGACCAAAAATAAAAATAGAGAAACACCTTCAATTTCATTTGACAAATTTTATGTGACAGTGACAAATTTTTTTCTTATACAGGACAAGTTGAAAATTCATGAAATTTTCTGATAAAATATAACTCGTGCATTAAAAATGCATCGATAATTTTCGACAAATTTTCACTCATGCATGTTAAACTGAAAAACGCACTCGTGCACTCCGTGCACTCGTGCTTTTTTCAACTTAACGTGCATTCGTGCATATTTCCCAAAAATTATCGCTAATTTTTAATGCACTTGTTATATTACTACTGAAAACTTCTAAGCCTTAATAACCAAAGACTTTATAATACTTTTGATTGTTGTCTTTGTTTAATTGTTAGTATTGAACAGAGACCCAAAAAATTCTAGCACCAGTGGCCGTCCATACATGATTATCCGGGGGAGGGGTACTGGATGACAGGAAAATGATAAGTAAAAAATATTAAAAACTCAAAGCGATTGAGTTATTATTAATGGAGATGTGATTTTTTAAAAACAATGATGTTTTTTGAAGTAAAACTGTACAAACAATTTTTTTCATTCAAAAACTAAAGTGTGTGGAATGTTGAAATTTTGAGGACTTTTTCCTAAAGGTTCAATGTAAAAAATACTAAAAACTCAAAGCGATTGAGTTATTATTAATGGAGTTATGATTTTTTTAAAATAATGATGTTTTGTAAAGTAAAAGTTTACAAATAATTTTTTCACTCAATAACTAAAGTGAGTGGAGCGTTGAAATTTTGAGGACTTTTTCCTAAAAGTTCAATGTAAAAAATACTAAAAACTCAAAGCCATTGAGTTATTATTAATGGAGTTATGATTTTTCTTAAATAATGATTTTTTGTAAAGTAAAACTCTACAAACATTTTTTTCACTCAAAAACTAAAGTGAGTGGAAAGTAGCAATTTTGAGGACTTTTTCTTAAAGATTCAATATGAAAAATATTAAAAACTCAAAGCAATTGAGTTATTATTAATGGAGTTATGATTTTTTTAAAATAATGATGTTTTGTAAAGTGAGACTTTACAAATAATTTTTTCACCCAAAAACTAAAGTGAGTGGAACGTTGAAATTTTGAGGACTTTTTCCTAAAGGTTCAATGTAAAAAATATTAAAAACTCAAAGCAATTGAGTTATTATTAATGGAGTTATGATTTTTGTTAAATAATGATTTTTTGTAAAGTAAAACTCTACAAACAATTTTTCCACTTAAAAACTAAAGTCAGTGGAAAGTTGAAATTTTGAGGACTTTTTCCTAAAGATTCAATGTAAAAAATACTCAAAACTCAAAGCGATTGAGTTATTATTAATGGAGTTATGATTTATTTTAAATAATGATGTTTTGTAAAGTAAGACTCTACAAACATTTTTTTTACTCAAAAACTAAAGTGAGTAGAAAGTTGAAATTTTGAGGACTTTTTCCTAAAGCTTCAATATAAAAAATACTAAAAACTCAAAGCGATTGAGTTATTATTAATGAAGTTATGATTTTTTTAAAATAATGATGTTTTGTAAAGTAAAAGTTTACAAATAATTTTTTCACTCAATAACTAAAGTGAGTGGAACGTTGAAATTTTGAGGACTTTTTCCTAAAAGTTCAATGTAAAAAATACTAAAAACTCAAAGCCATTGAGTTATTATTAATGGAGTTATGATTTTTCTTAAATAATGATTTTTTGTAAAGTAAAACTCTACAAACATTTTTTTCACTCAAAAACTAAAGTGAGTGGAAAGTAGAAATTTTGAGGACTTTTTCCTAAAGATTCAATATGAAAAATATTAAAAACTCAAAGCAATTGAGTTATTATTAATGGAGTTATGATTTTTTTAAAATAATGATGATTTGTAAAGTGAGACTTTACAAATAATTTTTTCACCAAAAACCTAAGTTAGTGGAACGTTGAAATTTTGAGGACTTTTTCCTAAAGGTTCAATGTAAAAAATATTAAAAACTCAAAGCAATTGAGTTATTATTAATGGAGTTATGATTTTTGTTAAATAATGATTTTTTGTAAAGTAAAACTCTACAAACAATTTTTCCACTTAAAAACTAAAGTGAGTGGAAAGTTGAAATTTTGAGGACTTTTTCCTAAAGATTCAATGTAAAAAATACTCAAAACTCAAAGCGATTGAGTTATTATTATTGGAGTTAGAATTTTTTTTAAATAATGATGTTTTGTTAAGTAAGACTCTACAAACATTTTTTTTACTCAAAAACTAAAGTGAGTAGAAAGTTGAAATTTTGAGGACTTTTTCCTAAAGGTTCAATGTAAAAAATACTAAAAACTCAAAGCGATGGAGTTATCATTAATGGAGTTATGATTTTTTTAAAATAATGATGTTTTGTAAAGTAAAACTTTAAGTACAAATATTTTTTTCACTCCAAAACTAAAGTGAGTGGAAAGTTGAAATTTTGAGGACTTTTTCCTAAAGGTTCAATGTAAAGAATACTAAAAACTCAAAGCGATTGAGTTATTATTAATGGAGTTATGATTTATTTTAAATAATGATGTTTTGTAAAGTAAGACTCTACAAACATTTTTTTTACTCAAAAACTAAAGTGAGTAGAAAGTTGAAATTTTGAGGACTTTTTCCTAAAGCTTCAATATAAAAAATACTAAAAACTCAAAGCGATTGAGTTATTATTAATGGAGTTATGATTTTTTTGAAATAAAACTTTACAAACAATTTTTTCACTCAAAAACTAAAGTGAGTAGAGAGTTGAAATTTTGAGAACTTTTTCCTTAAGGCTCAATGTAAAAAATACTCAAAACTCAAAGCGATTGAGTTATTATTATTGGAGTTAGAATTTTTTTTTAAATAATGATGTTTTGTAAAGTAAGACTACAAACAATTTTTTCACTCAAAAACTAAAATAAGTGGAACGTTGAAATTTTGAGGACTTTTTCCTAAAGATTCAATGTAAAAAATACTGAAAACTCAAAGCCATTGAGTTATTATTAATGGAGTTATTATTTTTTTTTAAATAATGATGTTTTGTAAGGGTGATCCGTAAATGGGGACTGACAGTTTTTGAAAGGGCGCGGTTTCAGTCGTTTCAAAAAGGACAAGCCGAGGGGGAAACCACCTACCTAATTTTGTACACCAAAAATTCTAAAATTCTGAAAAATGCTAATTTTCATGTTATTATTGTCCCAAAAAATTCTAAAAATTCTAAAAAATTCTAAAAAATCCCAACAAATTGGGCAGGCTCTTGAGCATGCGCAATAGATAAAAATTCTAAATTATTTCTAAAAAACTCTAGTTCAATTCTGAAAAATACTGAATAATTCTAGAAATTGCTAAAAAATACTAAAAAATGCAAAAAAAATACTGATAATTCTGAAAAATTCTAAAAATTCTATCAGTTTGTACAGGGTGATCTATTATAAATGTCGACCCTGCTAACTTTATCATTTGACGTTTTTGACAGAAGTGTCAACTGTCAAATACAAAAGTTTTAAGAAATTATAATTTTTTTTAACTAAGTTAGTTTTAGGCATACAGGGTGCGTCAAAAAAGTGCAGCAGTAAGAAATTATAATTTTTTAAATGGAACACCCAGTGTATTGTGCGCTTATTTGTTAGTCCCCTTACCAGTTCCAGCACCATACCAGATAATATGATTTCAACGATATACGGTTTGATATGTTTATCTCTCTGTTTATCTTCAATAGTTATAGGGAAAAACGCGAAAATCCCTTGCTAGTTCTCTCATGTTATTTTTTCAAAAAAAAATAATAATAACTGGTTTTCCTTATAAATATCGAAGATAGACATCAAATCGTATATTGTTGAAATCATGTTAAAAGGGACTAACAAATAAGCGCACAATATGCAGGGAGTTCCATTTTAAAAAAATATAACTTCACACTCCTACACTTTTTTGACACACCCTGTATGTCTAAAACTGACTTAGTTAAAAACTTTCGACAATTTATTGAAACTTTTGTATTTGACACTTTTGTCAAAAATGTCAAATGAAAAAGTTAGGAGGGGTGACATTTATAATAGATCACCCTGTACAAAATTCTAAAAAGATTTCCCGCTCGAGGGAACCCACCTACCTAATTTTTTACACCAAAAAAAATTCCAAAATTCTGAAAAATGCGAATTCTCGAAAAATGCTAATTCTCGAAAAATTTCCCAAAATCCCAACAGATTGCGCAGTGCGCAGGCTCTTAAGCATGCGCAATGGGTGGAAATTCTAAATTATTTCTAAAAAAATCTAATTCAATTCTAAACAATACTAAAAAATTCTAAATAATTTTAGAAAATGCTAGAAAATACTAAAAAATCCTAAAAAATACTGATAATTCTAAAAAATTCTAAGAAATTCTAAAAAATTCTATCAGTTTGTACACCAAAATTCTAAGGTGGTTTCCCCCTCGGGGCAAGCAATCTTGAAATTTTCTGAAGTCACTTCGCCAGTATTTCCTGGAACTTTAAAAATTGCCCAAAATGTCTGAGTAGTTTTTGATTTGTTTAAAATAGCTTGAAAAGTCTCTGGAGGAATCTCTAATAAGTATTTGAAGTTACTCTTGATAAATTAGTTACCTACCATATACGAACTTAATTTGAATATTGTTTTAAGGAGGCATTATTCAATTTTACTTGAACTTGATTTCTATTTCAGGCACATCAACCCAACAGAAAACCGTTTCGTTTCAATTTTCGCAATTGGCGAAGGTTGGCACAACTTCCACCACACCTTCCCCTGGGACTACAAGGCGGCCGAATTCGGAAACATCAACTGGTCGTTGAAAATCATCAACTTTTTCGCCAGAATCGGTTGGGCTTACGACCTGAAAACAGTTTCCCCTGAAATGATCAAAAAACGAGTCCAAAGAACCGGAGACGGTAGTCACGAAATCTGGGGCTGGGGCGACAAGGACCAGACCAAAGAAAACTACGAATCTGCCGTTATTATTAATAAAAAGGAGGAATAAATAAATTGGAGCAGCCAAAAAATATACTAAAAAGTATTAATAAAATAATAAAGTTTAATTTTGTTACATTAGTTGAATAAGAATGAGAAATTTATTTAAATGGAGGTTTGAAGAAGTCTCTTTTAATTTTTGATATTCGTATAATATATTTTTCATAGTCAAAATACACAACTTGCATGTATGTTCATATAGCTTTAATGTTTTGTATTAAAACTAATCAATATTAAATGTGATAGGATATTTCCTTGATGTATCTCACATCTACTTACTTAAAAAAAATGTCCCTCGATGTGCTTGGTTTTATTTATTTCTATAGCTTAAGTATTTATTCTTGTCGATGCAGAAAATGTTTCATTGATCGTTGAATAAATGTTGTGTAATCTGGCATTTCATTTTTTGTGTTTTTCTTTTTTTCAGCTACTTCTGCATATTGCATAAAAGTTGTTTAAAAAAATGGGTCATATGCATAAAACACGAGCATATTATGCTTTTGGTTGAGTTTTTTGAGATAACCATATTCAGCTATAATGCAGCAAAAAGAGATAGAAGTAAAACATTTGCTACACTTTATTCATACGACTAAATGTTCACAGTATCAGACATTTTAGGCAAATTGTAATGCATGTAATTATTTGCAGAAACATGTGTATGTTGAAAATACTTTATATTATTTGTTAGTATAGGGTAATTATCATACACCTATTAGTTTATGTAACAGGGTTTTTCTTCAATCCTTATAGTTACCTACGTGACTATTTATGCTTTTGACAAGTATTTTAACAAGAGTAATTACTCTGATCACCTGTAACTGCCATACATATCGGTAGTTTACTTGTATAATTATTTTAAAACTAAAAGTTTGAGAGTATAATAGATTAAGCAAATATGTTCGTGCCCAGGCGAGAAATCAGTGTGTAGATCAAAGATCAAAAAGAATCTTTTAGATAAGGTAAGTAACTCAGATATGCTTAGATATATTCTATGTTAACTTCTATAAAAGCGTTTTTTTCTTCATTCTAATAGTTATTTATACATCAAGTGAGTTAAATGAATGTTTATTCATGAGAGGAAAGTTTAGCTCACGAGCCCTAGCGAGTGGGTTAATTTTCTTCGAATGAATAAACATTTTAACTCACGTGATGTATACAAAATTTTATCCCGTTTTGTGGAAATTTAAAAAATAAAGTAGAAGTAAAAATGCCGGGAGTGAGTTAAAAATATTTCAAATCACTGAGGTTTCAGATTTTTAGATGGGCAGAGTGACTTGAAGTGCCGAGAGTGAGTTAAAGTGTTTTTAAATCACTGAGGTGATAAACGTCTACTTACCTTCATTGTTATGCGTTCAATAATGTCATTTTTAAACGTCAAAATGGGATAAAATATATTTAAGTTAGAATAAATGTTGTTTCATCAAAATCCGTTATAACGCAGGTCATTAACATAATAGATAAATAGGCAACAAAAATAAGTTTGGCCAAAGTACATAAACATGAAGTGTTATTGACAATATTTTAAAATTTAAATTAAAACACTTCATTTGATTATTCCCAGAAAAAAAAATACTTAATATAAGTGTTGTTGTGTAAAAATGCGTATCAATGAATAAAGATGTTTTACTATTCATACAACTTCATTCACTGTCTAGTTTTTTTTTTGTTATCTAGGTATTAATAATTCTGTGATTTTTGTTTTTTCCAAATATAATGTCGATAATCTAATCCTAATAAGATAAAGGTACTCAACTGTAATTATAATACCTATAATCGAATGGAAAGTCGGTTAAACGTCGCTATAGCATTTTTATCACCTATTTGGAACTAAGTACCAGTCGTTCAAGTGACTTAACGTATGTTACTTCTTGAACACACAAATAAAATAAGGTTAGGAATTTCCTATATTTACATGACATTGACGTATTAGCAATCAACGTTCGTTTTTGTTGGTAATTTTTTGTTTTATCTGATTCGTGATTGATGAATAAGGATTAAGGATGTGGTAATTCCAAATGGGTATTGAAAATACTATACCACACTAGTTTTTTACTTTGATGTGCTTTCAATAGCCGTCATACGGTCATACATTGTTTACAAATGTTTACCAAGTTGAAAAGACAGGGTGTCCCAAAAAGATACCGACAAACTTTAAGGGGTAGTAGGGGACATCAAAACAAGCATTTTTGTTTATATAAACTGTGAAGGATTATAGCCACTCCCGATAGTTGTCTTTAGCCACTCCCGATCAGCTGGGAGTTGTCCCGCCAAGCCAAGCGTCACAAGCCACAGTTGTCAATGCCAGGGGCTAGATAAAACACATGTTTTTATAATTACATTTTATCTCACTAATTTCTTAATATAATAAAGTACTAATTACAAAAGTAGTATTTATTACATGGCGCAGTCGAGTTCGCGATAATTACTTACGTTCAATTAAATTCTACAAAATGGGCGATAACCGTGGTATTGCACCAATGGCCATGGAGGGTAGCATTCCCGAGAACTGGAAGCTCTGGAGGTCCAGGTTCGAAAACTATCTCGTGGCCAGTGAGATAAACAAGAAGCAGGAGGCAACGCAATGTGCACAGCTCCTTCATTATATAGGTGAAGAAGGCTTCAAAATTTACTCGACTTTCAAGTTTGAAGATGACGAAAAAAATAAATTACAGAAGCTTTTAGAGAAATTCGAAACTCATTTCCTTCCTAAGGAGAACTTAACGTATGAGCGTTATAAATTTTTTTCGTGCAAACAGCAAGCTGGACAAACATTGGAACAGTATGTCACAGAAATAAAGAAGTTAGCTAGTAAATGCAAACTAGGTGACCTACAGGAGGACCTTACAAAGACAGTTTTGATTTGTGGAATTACCAATGCAGGACTGCGAGAAAAACTACTGCAGGATGACAGTCTATCTCTTCAGCAAGCTATAGAATTGTGCATCATAATAGAAACTTCCAAAGAACGTAGTGCAGCAATGGGTAATAATTTACTGGACATAGATGCTCTGCATAAGTCTAAATACAGAAATAATATAGAAAAAAAATTCAACAAGAAGATAAATTCATGCACTAAATGTGGTAAGTCGCATGCTTTAAATAAATGCCCAGCCTAGGGAAGAGTTGTAACTTCTGCAAGACTCTAAATCATTTCGAGACAGTATGTAGGAAAAAGAGAAATGCAAAAATTAATGAAATTCATCAAGACGAGCCATCTACATCTGTGAATGTCATAAATAAAAATAGTGGAGACTTTTTATTTATAGGTACAGTAGAAGTAAATGCAATAAATAAGGAAGAGTGGTATGTACAGCTTAAAATTGAAAATTCTTTTGTAGATTTTAAAATAGACTCAGGAGCTATGGCTAATATATTACCATTAAGTATTTTTAATAAGATAGGATTAAATGATTCGATTTTAGAGCCTACTAATGTCAAGCTTTGTTCCTATACTGGAGAAACATTGGAGGTTGTAGGTAAGTGTATTCTGCCTGTTTTTAAAAATAATAATAAATACAAAATTGAATTTTTTGTGGTAGAGCAAAAATCAAACTCAAAATCAATTGCTATTTTGGGGTTAACTTCTTCTGTAAATTTAAATTTAATAAAGAGAATTGAAACAGTTGATTCTGCAGAGAGTAAATACAGTAATTTAATAAAATCCTATGGTGAAGTATTTTCGGGCATTGGTTGTGTAAGTGAACCCTATCATATAGAGCTTGAACCAAATGCAAAGCCAGTTGTGCAACCTGTCAGAAAAGTAGCTTTACCTTTGAAAGAAAAACTAAAAGAGAGCTTAGATGAGTTAGTTAAACAAAATATAATTGAAAAGGTTGAGGGTACCTCAGATTGGGTTAATGCATTAGTCATAGTTAGGAAGCCTAATGATAAGATTCGTATTTGCTTAGACCCGAAAGACTTAAATAAGGTTATAAAACGAGAATTTTGCAAAATACCTACTTTTGAAGAAATTACCAGTGAGTTAGCTGGAGCAATGGTGTTTAGTACATTAGATGCCACAAGTGGTTTTCATATGATACCCCTGGATGCAGAAAGTTCAAATATTTGCACTTTTGGAACGCCATTTGGTAAGTATAAATACTTAAGGCTACCATATGGGATAAAATCTGCACCAGAGGTTTTCCAAAAAAGGTTTGGTGATATTTTCAACATGGAGGGTGTAAAAACCTACATAGATGATATTGTTATTTGGGGTCGCACTTCTGATGAGCACGACCAAAGATTGAAACATGTTTTAGATATTGCCAAATCCAGTAATGTTAAATTTAATTTAAGTAAATGCAAGCTGGGTAAAAAACAAATAAATTACATGGGACATGTTATTTCTTCTCAAGGAGTACAACCTGATAATTCCAAAATTAGGGCAATTTCTGAAATGCCAAGACCTACCTGTAAGCAGGATGTACAGCGCATATTGGGTATGTTAACCTACATTAGTAAATTCATAAAAAATTTCTCAGACAAAACTGCACCCTTGAGAGATCTATTGAAAAAAGACGTTGAGTTTTTGTGGCTCGAACAGCACGAAACAGCTTTCAATGAATTTAAACAACTTCTAACTAGTCAGCCTGTCTTACAATTTTTTGATTTAAATAAAGAAACAGTTGTTTCAGTTGACTCTTCTCAGGCTGGACTAGGCGCCGTGCTGCTTCAAAACAATCTTCCATGTGCGTATGCGTCAAGAGCCTTAACAGATACTCAAACTCGTTATGCACAAATCGAGAAGGAGTTATTTGCAATTTGTTTTGGTTTGGATAAGTTCTACCAATATGTCTTTGGTAAAAGGGTGATTGTCGAAACCGATCATTTACCTTTGGTAGCAATTTTCAAAAAACCCTTAAATAAGTGCCCAGCTAGGTTACAACGCATGCTGCTTCAGTTGCAGAAATTCGATATAGACCTTCGTTATAAAAGAGGTAAGGACCTTTACTTAGCCGATGCATTATCTAGGGCATATCTTAAAGAATACTCTTGCAGTGAATTGGATAATGACATTGAATGTCATGTATGCCTTGTAAATTTAGAATTAAATGCTACACCCCAAAAAATAAATCAGTTTAAAATTGAGACTGAAAAAGATTTTATCCTTAAAGAATTAAAAAAGACCATAATAAGTGGTTGGCCAAATTCAAACAAAAAGTTGTCAGATAGTCTAAAAGTTTATTTTCCTTACAAAAGTGAATTGACTATTGTAAATGACCTCATTTTTAAGGGCAATTGTTTAGTTGTACCAAGCTCTTTAAGAAATGAAATGATAAGTCGTGTACACTACAGTCATTTGGGAATCAATAAATGTGTAAAGCTTGCCCAAGAACATTTATTTTGGCCAGGTATGAATAATCAGATTCGGCAAAGAATTTCACAATGCCATGCTTGTCTAA